TCCTATTCCGTCGACGATATGGAATTAGAACCAGTGTCGGATTCAAACGTAACGCCGTTCTTTCGGCCGGACTGTAAAAACTGCACGTTCTGCGACGGATTGAAGGACTTTGGACCGGAACAAACCGAGGCACATGAAGAGGAGAAGGGCCCTTCGACAAAGGCTTCAGGTAACTGCCGGTTAACTCGGCAGCCGAGCTGTCAAAGTCGCTGACCCTATCGGTTCATGTCTCTCAGAGCTGTTCAACTCGCTTTCATTTCTGGACAGGTGAACAGGCATTGCTCTACGCAACGTTCCAGGCACTCGTGTTGCTCAGCTTACCCTGACCATGTCACTGGGTCTTCAGGTACCTCGCCGTTTTTATCCTACTGGCGATGGTTTGTGGGATCCTCATTGGGGTCTATGCTGTGAGAATACCCCTCTTCTTTTCACGCTCAACTTTCGTATCCAGGATACCGACGTCTGCGAATCGGATAAATAGGAACGCGGGGTCCGTGAGGCATTTGGTGGTGCCCAATGGAAAGGCGTTTCCATTCGTGAGTGCTCGATCGGGGTCGACGACTACCACCTCGTAATATAGCTATACTAAGGACCTTTTATGTCGATTATACAGCGGTGCTAGTTGGCCTCTTACTCATGATGTGGCGTACGTCAGCGCTCCACTTTACTTTTATTGTGTCTCGTCGAGCCTTGCTGCGATCAGAACGGCCGCGAACAGTAACGCACCCTCATTTTTTTGGTTTCCAGCGGTCCTGACAAAAGTCCAATACGAATGTCTACCGATCGTCCTCTCCACCCGACGAATTTGGATCCACATAGGGATCTCGTTTGTTCTCAACTGGATTATTGCGCCGTTCATTATGCTGGGCCTGGCTTGGGCCACGCTCCCTGAAGCTAGTCTCGAACGAGAGCGCAAAGGCGTTATCTTGGTTGGAGTAGGTACGTCTTGAGTGCCTGGATATTATCTCTTGGTCTCCCAAACATTTTAACTGGATGGGTCCGGGTGTTTCAGCTCGCTGTATCGGTGAGTCGGCACAATTGAGTTTATCTACCCAACATTTCCGTCGGTCCTGAGAAGTTGTCTCGCATCTTTCCCTAATAGCGATGGTCCTAATCTGGTCAGGCCTTGCTAAAGGAGATGCAGAATACTGTGCGATATTAGTGTGCATTAACTCACTGCTTCAGGTAAGAGTCCTCTTCAGCTGATGCCGCGTCATTAGGCGACCCTGATGGATCCAATCACTCTCAAACAGATCGTTCTGTTCTCGCCCTACTCGCTCCTGTTCCTCAACATACTAGGCTCTAACCCAGGTTCAACTAACCCATTGCTCGAGCTAAAGTACGCTCAAGTCTCGACAAGCGTCGGAATCGTGCGTTGGGTCCCGCTTCCTTTCCGCAGCGTCA